TGAGCCAGTGGAGAAAAGTTAAAATTTCTATACCAAAGCACAAAAATGGGTGGATAGGACAGTTTCTATAATTCTGGTGAGTAGAGTACCACATTTGAAAGAATTTATACCATCAGTTAAGTGAGATTTTTTTAAGTAGGAAAAGGAAATATTTAGTTGTCAGTCTAAACTGAAGTGTAATCATTGGGACCACTCGTGTTACTTGTCGTTAATAAATGACAGTAAATGATAACAAATGAAAACAAACATCTACCTATCCTGCATGCTCCTTTATGATGTGCCAACACAGAAAGAATTTTGGTTTAACCTCATGCTTTGGATTTATATTATTTAAATTAAACAAACAAAAAAATCTGCAACTCACCAGAACCACTAAGCTGCATGCTAAGATGAAATTGTTAATGTAACATATGGATATGGCTGGCACCTATTTGTGGTGAAAACTCAGACTCCCCAGTTTTAAGAGGAGAACAGAAAATTAGTAGACAAAAAGTACATATACAGAGATAAGCAAGGCACTGGCATGGAACATTGAAGAAAGACACAATATATTTTAATGTGGTTTTAAGGAGCACATCCCTGGCTGAGAGAAATATCACATCTCACAATTTGCCACAGAATTCTCATCACTTATACAAATAGTCAAGGTTTGTGAGAGTAACAAAACAAAAACACTGAGAACACAACCTCTTATAACAAATGACACATCTCCCAGCTGAAACCATATTGTTCCACTTTCCTTACTGAGGCAGATGAGGCAGAAATGTGTCAGAATTTATTTTAAGAAAAAGTAAAATTAACTGAAATATTTCAATGCATAATGTACAGGTGCAGAAAAAATCTGAGACCAAAAACTTACATTTTTATTAGAACTGATGACATTTCCCCATTACTTGCTGCTTACAGAACTCTGTTAACATAACATCTCCCCACTTCCCAGGAACAGCAGATTTGAGAAGGAACTGGAGAGATTACTGTGCAAATAATAAGAAACTATTTCCAAGAAGTAACAGCTCCAAGAGAAACAGCTATCCTTGTACTGCTACTAACAGTTTCTTTTATTTCTTATTCTCAAGTACTTGAGTTCCTTTTGTGTATGGCTGTGAAGAGAAGCCATCAGTTTTTACTTCAGTGTACTACGAAGATCCAAAACCCAGAAGATGACAGAATAATTTCAATTAAAAATATTTAAGGTCTTATTCCCTCCACCCTCTTGATTTGCATATTTTAATTGCTGATGTTGCTGCCTTCAGCTACCTTAAAATGATGAATACCTCTGGGATCCACACAGAACCCAAACCATCATAGCAAGAAGGAATGACAGAGATGTCCCATATTTGCCTATGTAAAAAGCAAGGGGGAAGTATTAATGTGGGTATAAATATTGTGTCAAAAACTGAACAATGGGACAGGAGAAAACAATCTTATAGGTATAGTCTAGGTGGAGGAACACAAACTTTAGATCTATCAAGAAAAGAAGGATCCAATTTTTACAGTCCTTAGTGTTGGTTAGAAGAATAGAGATGAGAATGCTTTTGTGGATAAGATTAACACACATAATTTTAGATTTTAAAGGATTTGAAAATAGTTTTAAATGTATGCACACACATAAGACTGTGGTAACATTGCCCAATAAGTAGCTAATAGATTTGTATTTTTTCTTCTTGTATAGCAACAGAAAAAAAAATATAAAATTGCATCTGCTTAAGAAGAAAAACATTTAAGGCACAATTCCCATAGTCAGGAGGAGCCTTGTAAATATTTTTACATACTTTAATAACACCCAATTATAATTTTGTGCTAATTGCTTTAATCAGCCCAACCTGAAGTGTTATAGTATTTTTCCATAATTAAGCAGTACCACATGACAAGCAGCGCTTTTCAGAGCTATTATAGTACTTTCTAATGCTATAATAAACAAAGATCATGCATCTTAATTATAACCAACAAACATTCCATACACATTTAATTATATGCTACAGTGAAATTCCCATAACTTTAAAAAAAGCTCTGCCACGATTATTAAGATGTTGCTAATATGAGCTCACACTAATGGGCTGTGCCCACTATTAATGTCACTGCGAACAGTTTACATCAGGAATCTGTATCTCCAATTTAAATGTTAATGGACTGAGTCTTTTTCATTTATAGTGCAAAAAAAGGATAAAGCCACTGAAGTCAATGAGATTACACAAAACTGCTATCTAGCATATTACTGGCTCTATCTCCAAATGCATAGTATGGAGCATAATCAATTCTCTCATACCTGTATCCTTACGTCCTGTCAAAACAAAGAAAAATATATCCCTAATACCACGACATACTGCATTTCAACCAGAGCAAAATGTCAATTAAGCTAATAAAAGATCATAAATCAACCTATGTAAATTAAATTTACTTGTGTAAACCACAGATTACCTTTAGGCCAAAGGTTAACAAGGCATGTTCCAATCCAGCACACAAAACATGAGCCAACCCCAAGGCACCAATGCCATGCTACTCATCCCTACTGCAGTTCCCAAAGCAGCACCTCTTTCTCCAAGGTGTCTGTGCAGAGGAACAGCAGTGATGTACATGTGCTGGAGCATCAGAGCTCACTCTGGATGTCACTAGTGGATACCTGCCCCAGCACAAGTCTGTAAGTTTGAGCAGGGGTCACTCATGGTTTTAAAAGATGGGTTTAGATATTATTTTAAAAAAAATACCCATCTCTGAAATTTGTTCTGTGTGTGTATATGACATGACACTCAGTAGATAAATGCCCTTGATGTACAGTTTACATATCCATTTTTCAGACAGATCAGACTATTCTCTCACACTTGATAATGTGATACTAGATAGATCACAGCAACAATTCAGATGGCATATAAACAACCACATACAAATAAGTATGTCTATAAAATAATGTCTAGAAAAGTTATTCGTATTATTATGAATATTGCTAAGATCTGAATAATCATTTAGAACCCATTTAGGAAAAAAAAATTCAAAAAAAAATTAGATAGCTTTGCGTTAGCTGAACCACTGCTCTATTTCAGGTACTTCCTATTTGATTTTGATTCTGTACTTTCACAAGTCAGAGAAACCAGGATCCATTCTATTTTCCTTCTTGGCCTCAGTAATACTCAGACATTGACATGTCCTCTTGGAGCCTATTACCAGCTCCCACAGCTTAAATCACCCTAAAACAAAGCCATGGTGAGACTATCACGGGACAAATTCCTCAAGGAAAGGTATTCTCTGCTTCCCCATCCCAACATTGTTGTGCCCCCAATTTACAGCCACTGTCATCATGCAGCTACAGGAGTCTCTGCTTCCAAGAAGTTCTTATAGTCTAAAGCAGGAATCTCAAGGGAGGTATTTGTGCTATGTTCTCCGCATTTCCCTTCCAGAATTTCTTTCTTACTTTCATTTTCTCTTTGCTTCTTACCAAAAGTTTCAGAACAGCCTTAAGTGGCAAGTAACAGGTATTAATTAGGCCCACTGATGTGTTCTACACAAGGAATCCTTCCTTGCCACAAAGAGCTTATAGACCATTATCTCCTTTTTTTTATCCTCCATTGTGCTTTTTTTTCTTACTGTCTCCTGCCTGCCTTTTTCTTTCCCACTATTTAAATTTCAACACAGAGGTTTTGCAATACCCTCTTATTAGAACTGCAAGAACTTAGGAAAAAAACAGTAAGAAATTAATTATTCTTTTATTTAAGACCTCTCAAGACCAAAGAAAGCATTATTGGAAGTCATGGGAGAAATATCTGAGTCCCAGTCAGCAAAGACCAAAATTCTGGAACTGAGTTTCAATGTTGAGTAAGGAGAATCAGGTTACATGCTTAACTAACACAACTGGAAACTGTAATAACTTAGTGACTTCTGTGCTAGTCAGCGTTAATGCCCTGGGGAGATTATGGTATTTAAAAGAAGATCTTAGACTACTTCATATTCAGGCTACTTCTTAGAGCAGATCTCCTTTCCTGGCCAGCAATGCTCTCAGACTCTCACCCACAAGCCAACATGTTCCCTCCTGCGACCATCCTACTGCAGCATCAAAGTAGGACAGTTCTAAGGAGAAAAGATATAATGAATTCCACTGTGCTTGGTTATGTCTATGAAATTGTAATATTTACTTTTTCCTGACTGCTGAGGATTTCAAGTCCCATATCTTCCTCTCTCTTAGAAGCAACTTCAAACTTCCCTGGTCATTTTGAGATTCAAGGTTGGCCTTTGCAGCCTCACTTCCCTTCTTCCCATTTCAGAAGAGTAAAATGTCAAATTTCCTGCAAAAAAGGTATCAGAAAAGAAAGACAAGACAGGCAAGTGCTTGATATCTTTATTTCCATCAGCAAGAGGACAAAGATTTATTTCTGAAGGTTCTGTAAGTCCTTAAAACAACTAGAAAAACATAGTTGCCTGAAGATAAATGGATTCTTCCCAAATCCCTTTATAATAGATGGACCACCATGGACTATTGGTGATCCATGAACCACAGCTGGCCAGTCTCATTTTAGACCCTCAGGGATTAAACCTATCAGAATGTCAACTTCCTGACAGGCTGGGACTTGCTAAAAAGAATGAATTCTCCATGGTACTATTTATGTGCCACTAACCACATCTAAGGTCTTCTGGAAAAAGAGTTTATCTGACTTTACTACATTCGGTCATTGTCATGTCACCATTTAAACTGTGAATGCCAAACTTTGCCCCTAAAAACTTAGATGTAGTTTTGATTGCCTCCAGTGTGCATTTACTCCAAGTACACAGGTACCAAAGTGGAGCAACAGTGTTACTACTCTAAGAAAAACAGATTAATAACAGGCGCTGAATACACTAATTCAATACTACACTGGTCCAAACACCAAGTGATTAAGAATCCAAGGCACCTTAAGAGAGAACATAGAGTAGATAATTTTCTTCCTCAGAACCTGAATAGCAACTAACATTTCTGCTAGCACTAAAAAAGCTGGGTACGTCACTCTTCTTTAGAAGACTTGAATTCAGGAATCTTTTTAACTACATAGAGATTGCTTCAAACACTTTTAGGCTGGTGTTTTGGTTTTTGGAGGCCATAATAAGCAGGTTGTCAGTTTCTGTTCTCAGCCAGGGATCTTCTGGAGAACAAAACTCACCATTTTTTCACTGGTTCCTTAATAATGACATTGATTACAATGTGGGCAATCATCTTACTTGTTCCAACCTAATTTCTCTTCAATGGTTCCAGTACCAGCCCCAGACACTCCAGACATCCAAAATCTGCTCACAGGAAATTGAGATTCAAAGGCTAATCTGCAGGTGTTAAGAGCAATTAAGGAAAAAACGAGACTGTGTTATATACTGGAATACATCCATTCCTGGAATATATTAATGACATAGGAATAGGTAAGAATATTATGAGAGGCCAAGAAAGACACTGCTTTCATTCCTCCCTTGTATTGATATCTTACTTTGAATTGCAATTGCGCTACTTACTAATTAAAGTATTTGCTAGCATCAGTAAGGAAGCTTGGTAGAATTTGTACCTGATCAAGATTTGTACAACAAGGGCCATTATGAACATTCTGTTGCTGGCCTCCAATACTCCTTATCTGAGTATCTGTCAGCAGACTTGTTATAAACTTTTTACAGAATTTGTAGCTGTCATTTCAATTGCTTTGGGATGAAATGTGACCTGTTTCCATCCAAGCGGAAGCCTTTCAGGCTGTCTGTGTGAAACAGACCAGAAATAGAAGTGTGTTCTTCATTGTAGATGCAGCTTCTCACACCAATCCCAATTTAAACCAGAAATATCACAAACAAATGTAAAAGGTGCAGACTTCAAATCAAGATTAAGAGCTCTACATTTGTCAATCAGCTGCTGAGCTAATGTTCTCTGGTACAGAAGGGAGTGGGAACACATCAACCATTTTGGGAAGCCATGTTCATGCACTCCAGAGAGTGCAAGCCAGGTACCAGCCCTGGCTTTGTAAGAAAGAGCATTATGGCAGGGCTTGCCTGGCTTTCAACAGAAGTGTTTGGCTCATATGGACCATCCCAATCCCAAGTGAGTTTCAAGAGCCACAGCTCCATTCTTGCATCCTTCTACATTGCATAAACATTTGAAATAGCACCTTCTGACACAGTGCTTTTTTCTATTGGAGAAAAAAAAATGTAAATATGCTTTTTAAACCCCTAGATTTTATTAGCCAGTTAGGCAAATAATTACATGTTTTATTACACAATTTTAAAATATTTTTAATTTTAATATGTTCTCCAGAATTTGTATCATCTTTGTACAGAAGCATAAATTACTTTTATAGTACCATGAATATAGCAATAATCAAAAATTTGCAGCAATAAATAGTTAATCTTATATTGGTATTTTTATTAGGCCAGAAGATGGTCCAAGCTTCTAAGCTGCATGTTCACAGGATTGTTACATGACAATTTGCTGGAAATTTTTGATTCTTGGTAAGCCTGTATGCAATGCTCAAATTCCAATTCTTTTTGAAAGCTCTAGTTTGGTTATAGGTATCTACTTAGGAACTAATCAGAAGCATTGCACAAGAAGTAGAATTACAACAGCAGTCTATTCAAATAGCTTCATTAATTCCTATTTAGGCCAAGAGGATTCATCATGGCCCCTGTTGACACAGGGCATGCCAAAGTGTTAAAAACCAAAATCTTCAACTTCAGCGAACAAAATATTTATGGATCATTATGCAGTCAACAAAGAATATTCCCTTGCAGAAATCTCCTTTTCTTCCTCTCAACACTTCAGCCTTTGGTGAGAAACAGAGCATATTGGACCAACTTTACCCTATGTTCCCTTTTCATCATTCAGCAAATTAGGGCTCAAAGGCTTCTGCAAAGTCTGTTTGTGCCACTTACTCATACAAGCAGTAACATTTTTCAGTGTGAATGCCATGCCAGGAGCACATAAAATGAGGCATTTAAATAGGGAAGGATGAATAAAAGCTACTACCATAGTATTTTAATGTGACCTAGAAACTAGGAATTGAAACAGTACTGACAGTGGGAACTCAAGATTTTGCAATCAGAGGGTTTGTAATAGGCTCTGAATGCCAGGGAAAGAGCAACTGGCTATTTTGTACAACAGAAGTAGTTACAGGAAATTTTTGCAGAAAAAAAAAAGGGGGAACCACAATGAAGGAACTACCTCAGTAAGACACAGCCCAAACTTATTTGGATGGGTGTCAATCAGAACAGATTTCAATGAATCCACTAGGGTCTGGCAATGAGAGCTAATTCTATGCTGAGGAAGAGGTAGCACAGGTTATGTGAACATATTAGAACATTTCTAACACTGGTGTTACTCCACTGTATATAAAATATAGCTGGGCTTGATCATTTAACATTTTCATTTACTGATATGCAAATAGGTACTCCCTACCTCTGATTTTGAAAAAGAGACTTACCAGAGTAAGAATGGTCTGTCTCAGTCTCAGACATTGCCCCCTCAACTGTCTTAAATACATAATAATTATTTTAAAGCATTTTAATGACATACAAAACTGTTTAAAGTGTTTATTTTTTTTTAATTGGTAGGACCAAGATTTCCTTCCCACTAATCAGGAAAAAAAATAATTACAAATGCAAAATCTGAAATATTCAAAGTTTGATAAATTTAATAATCACTGTGAAAATAAAACAATTCAGTTCCTTTGCCATGCCTGAAAAAAGTGATACCCAAAATTCTGCCAGAGTAAAAATAAATGACCATAGAACCACAACACTACTCTCTCACTAATTCACTTTAGACAGCTCTCCCAGCCCCACAGTACAGTACAGTGCAGATAATCCCCTTTTGATGCCTCTTCCTGGCCCAACCAATATCAGCCAAAGGGAGTCCAGCAGCCAGGCCAGAAACACACCTGAAATATTTTAAGGACCAAGCCACACAATGCTTTGGAAGTGGTTTCCACACTCTGAGCTTAGTTTCAGTAGTCAGTAGACTACTAGCACAAGCCAGTGGTGCTTTAGGATGGCTGGGGGGAAAAGTGTTTGAACATGTCACAGGTTAGGGAAATATCAGTACTTACCACCGAGAGCTTAGACTGGTCTGGCTGAGTAGGCAGTGATTTTACAACACAAAAGTAGGTGTACAGGTTTAATATAGTTTTATTCAGAAATTAATTATATCAAATGCAGTTTCAATCCTTCCCATGGAGAGCAAATAAAAGCAATGTTTAGCTATCAGCTCTAAATTCTTGATGAGTCTATAGTGACAGTCTTTTAGGAGAACTGAGCTATGAATACATTGATGAAGTTGAGATCAGCTTTTGGACAATGCAATAATTTGCAAAGAATAAATTTTTGATCTGCAGAGCTCACTAAATTACTTACCACTTAATTGAAAACTAGACCTTTCTAACTGGCCCTAAAAACACTTCCTAATGGTGATGAACAGATCTAAAATCCATCTTTGATTTAGGCAGAAATTTCATTGCAACCATCTGAGACATCTGCCTCTTAAAACATATGCTGTGTCTGTCATGTATTGCCCATCTGATAACTTGATCAAGAGAACCTGCACAATTAAGGTGACAATTGTGGGGATTGCTTTTTTGGTCATTAACAGAATTCTTGTTCCAGAAATTCCAAAGTTGGGTATTTTCTAGATAAGTCATCTCTTCTGTTCAAGAGACTATTTTCTTCTCAATGTAATAGCATCTTACACTGTAACACTTAACCTTGGAGATATTTAGAAAAAAGAACCCTAGCAAAACAAAACCAAAAAAACACCAGCAGCACAAGAAGGAGCACAAGAAACTTCTCACTTAGTTTCATCTCCTAATCTATCATCAGCTAGTTGAAGAACTAGGGTCAGTTGTTCTCTATCACCATGAAAGAGTTCAATTTCACAGTACTAAAACTCACCACTTCACAGCAACAGCTTTGATGACACGCCAGGGTAAAGCCTTTATAATATAAAGCATGGATACCAGGAATAAATACTCTTCTAAGGTCAAGGGAATTGGATTGCATAGAAAAATAAGACCTCAAAAGCAGTATAATAGAAGTATTCAGGGTGATGGAAGTGCTCAATAAAATAGAGCTTTAGATATTTTTACACTGATGAAATAAAAAATTTAAAGGATCACTCACAACTTAAGAAAAGAGGAATAGCAAAACATAAGCAGGTTAAGCTAGGTAGTTAAAATATAATATAGCACTTGTTTTTTTCACAAGAAATATAAGCTAATATATTACATCTATGTAAAGAGAGAGAGTTCCTGAATGAATCAGGTAGCCAGTATTACAGTTCCTCATGGTAGAATTTTATGTGCTTAAAGAAAAGATAGCAAAGCTGAAGTTACTGCAGTTAGAGATCCATCAGGGAGGATGTGACCCTCCTTTAACAACGAAGTTATCACATCTCCATCAAGCAGCACATTGATTTGTCATGCTTAAATCTATCATTATCTTTTCTGATTAATATCAAAATTGCTGCTTGCTGATCACTTAAGTAAAGGGTCTTTTGTGTGGCAGAAGGGGCTGACAAAGATCTGATGTTAAGGCACAAAAAAATAGAGAGACAAACAGGGAGTTCCATTTTCAAGAGAATACCCTTTCAAGACATTATCCCCTAGGGCCACGGTAACAGAATGCTGTATTTAAATCAGCAGGTCCTGCACTAGAAGATGGTTTAACTGCTAATTAACACTGAATGATATGCTGAAAATTACATGCTAATTAATTCTCTGTAGATCTAAGTGCCCTTCCTTCTATATCATTTTTAGTGAACATATTAACATGGGGAATAGAACGGCATTAATTACAGATTCACATGACAAACATGTGAAGCTATATTAAAGAGTTGATGGAGGTTAACTAAAAAGAAAGATGTGGGTCAAAGTTGTAGACCACAGGCCACAGTATCATAAAGATACCCCACATTAAAAAGAAGAGGGCATATATTACCCATTCAATCTTCCTGTCAGTTTGATGTTGCTCTCTTGTATTAGATTTTCTTGCAGGAAGATCACTGTTCTGAAAAGAGGATTAATCTGTGCTGAACACAGTCTCACAAAATGAAGGCAAGTAAATGGAAAGTAAACAATCTCTTGTTATTTTAGAAAGTGACAGTGATTACAGGTTTGTGGGTTTTTTTTATAATTTAACCATTAACAATCCCCACATCACAACAACTTGTAAGTGGCAGAGAAATTAGGTGTGTAGGTAGCTAAAGAATCAATATTCCAAATACTGGTTGTGCAATAGTCCCACTCTAAATAAAAAAAACCTTTTAAGTCAAATATGTATGACAACCATATCCAGAGCTACTTATTTAGTAACTTTTAATTTAAGGTCTGGAATTAACCCAAATAAAGTAAAATCCAGTCACTACAAACAAATCAAGCAATCAAATGTAAAACATTGCCCCTGCTTCAAGGGTCTCAAATTCCAAGTACTAGGGCAGCCCAGTTTAGAGGTTGAAAAATCATACAGAAAAAGCTAACTTCTTTTTAATGCTAAAATTATATTTTCTGTTTGTCAGATAATGATGCACCTACATGCATGGTTATTTCTGTAGTTCAAAATCTTGAGGTTTTCCCCTTCCAGTATCTCCCAGCAAAAGCACTGGTAATTTGTCATTAGAGAAATTTTAGTTACCAAGGTCCTTCCATAAATTCTTTCCCTGACTCAGTACTGGTAGATATAAATAGATATACGTAAATGGCCTTTTTTCCCCCACAAAAAGGCATCTCTTCAGTAAACATTAAAAATCAAAAGACATCAAAATGTCTTTGAATCAAAAAAAAATCAACAAAAAAGACCTGAAAAATTGTGCAAATCTTGCTAAAAGTTAAAATTCTACCTCCATAATGTACTTTAGTCTATTGGAATTGAAAGTTTCTGCTTTATTCATATGCATGAATAAAGTCATTCAGGGCATCTGCATTAAAAGTAATGTTCATAACTAGATAAGAGATATGGAAAAGAAGAATATCAGGACTGTTTTGTTTTATTTTAATAGCAAAATTAGGTAACACCTAATCAGGAATCAGGGAATTTGGTGTAAGGATGTTAATGACCAAAAACTTGTGCCCCAGAGAGCTAAACTTTTATTTGTTCATGGTCTCCAGGAAAAATAGCTGACATTTAGTCATCTTAGAGATTCCAGACTAAGAAAACAGAACTTGCCCATATGTAGATAGTTCATTATCCAAAAGAACCAGAATCATCTTTCATGAAAGATACAGATGCACAACTTCAAATATATATAGCTTTTCTGCCTAGCATAGAGTAGTACCAAAATTTTACTGTATGTTTAATTTTTTTCTTGTTGCAGGATGCTGTTAATAAGTATTTAACTCTGCTGTATGACATAAGATACTAAAGCCAGGAAAAGAGTGCAGCCAGAATTTTTTTACTTTGTTAGAGACAGCCACAGAACACATGCAAGACAGTTCCAGGTGGATCAACTGAAAGCAGAAATAAAGCCTTACCACAGCTTCTTAAAGCTTTCTAATTCTCTCAGCAAAGGAAACATCCAATCTCGAAAAACTTTTTATAAAGACTGTAGCACAGGCCTGCCAAAATCAGCTCTTAAAGCTGGCAAGAAAACACCAAACAGTTTAGTAATATACTGAATGGATGAAGGGTAAAAGAGAAAATGGGTGGTGGGATGGGATAAAAAGCAGATGAGAAATCAGATTCAGGTGAATCCAGTTTAGGCTAACCATCAGTCCCTGACTCAGCTCTAACCACTGCATGTCATCTCACTTGAGAGGTCCTTACTACATTAATTTAATTTCACATTTTCCATCCAAGATATTTAGAGGAAAAAAAAATAAAAATATTGTAGGTAGTACCCAACTGTCCATAAGCCCCTTTGGTCAGGACAGTAACTTTTGTAGAGATTCCTTATATTGGAAGGGTGATCCTCTAAAGCACTGATGGACTTTGAATAGAGCTTGAAAGTTTGTAATGACAGGTCCTGCACACCGGGGTGAGCTGACAGACGTGTTGAGTAGCTTGAAAAGTTTTGTAAATTAGTTAAGTAACTGCAGACAGGTGGAACTTGTCATTGGCAGAGCAAAGTTACCATACTGACAGCTACATGTCTCACCTGTTTGTAGCAAACAGTGTGGCTTTTACTGATGGATTACATTTACTAAAGTTCTGAAACCATTCTTAGAATGGATGAGTGAAAACAATTGCTCCCAGGTGCATGTTTTATATGTCTCCCCTTTTCCATTACGTCTCTTGCCTCAAGGGTCCTCATGCATTAGGCCCAAGCAGTATTCACCAAGACTTTCACAGCAGCTATGTATTTATAGACACAAAAGGAATTTGAACTCTGCTTCCTTGCACACTGAAGCTTGTGATGCAAGCTTCAAATCAGATGTACAGTCATGACAGGTATTGTCTAACCACCCACCCTGTGCAAGACAGGCAGAGAACACTTAGCAGAAACTGATGAGGTTCTCATTGAGTCCCCCACTAACCAGAGGGGTTTGAACCCTGCACAACTTACCTTCCAATGAGGAGAGAGGACATCCTATATTCCCTCCCCAGAGCTGTTAGGATGGAGTCACTTTTTTTACCCTTAGGGCTTTCTAACAATCAGGATGCAATATTTTTCAAGCATGAGTAACTCTAGTAGTATCTATTGTTTCTTGAACATATTTTATTCTCTCAGAATCACCCACAGAGATACTTAAGTGGGATATCTACGTTTTTTTTGGACAAGATTTAAATTAGGAACCATTAGCACCATTAACATAACTGATCACACAGGGGAGTTTATGAGGTCTCTTGGCCTCAGTTACTTTAGCTGAGAGAAGCCCTGCAGCCCATCAGATATGGTATTCTTATGGTAACTGAATTTAAAAATGCAAGACTTTTCAATATTATTTACACTTTTAAGCTTGAATTCCTCACAGGAACAGATATCACAAAAGAATTGACATCTAGAAACACCTTCCATACCAGTTAATGAGGGGTGAATTAGCCTTGAAAAAGCAACATCATTCAACTGGTGGGGGTATGCAGTTTCTTCTATATTAAATATAATCTGAAATTTTTTGACCTTAACTTCTTCTTTCCTTCCTTACAGTCTGTGAGAATACATCTATATGAAATCAGTTCCAAAGTTTGTTGTAGCAAATACCTGCCACAGTAGTTCTAGAATTTATATTTCTTAAATATTAAGAGGATTAAGTTATGGAAAACTAAAAGCTACCTGACATTTTGCACTCAAACTGCCAAGCGGAGGACCAGAAGGTTTTCTTTATTTGCTGAAAATTATCTAAACATCAAATAAGCAGGATAGTTTAACCACAGCACACTAAGTGACTAACACATACACTACCTTTTTAATTGTAATTACTGTTCACCATAAAGCAAGTACCCAGGGAAGCTAGGACTCCATGAGATACTTACATGTGCTTTTTTTTATTTAAAGATGTGTATTTACATTGATTCTCAAATACTTACAGTTATCTTCAATAAATTAGAGGAACACTCAAGTTTCTGTTAGTGCCTTAGACCTTCACTGCTACAACAAGTTATAGCAGCTGTTCAGATCATGAAATTTTCTCCAAAAGTTCTGTAAATAACACTATTAAAAGAACATGTGAGTGTCTTAACTTGAAGGCTGAAAAACAAAAAAAGACTGCATATTTAGATACATATGAATAAGTACTGGCTAAAGCGTGCAAGTATATATTGACTGCTGAACTAAATACTAATAATTCAAGTTGCTCAGTCTCCCCAAATAGGATAACAATGGTATATAAAATGAATGGTATTTTATATACCCCTTTTTTTATGGTATATAAAAAGTTGAGCCATCGCAGTTACAGTCATATCCAGTGGATTTATTTTGCCAAATTTAGAGTCAACACCTAGGGAATACAGCTTGTTCCAATGAAGAAAACCAGATTAAGTTCACATTTCTTTCTGAAGTTTAAGATGTAGGAAAAACTCAGAAGCACTGAGAGAATCAGCCCTTCACACCCTTACCTCTGGGGACAGGTAGAAGTTCTTCAGTGGAACCTCTGTGGCCAGGGCTGATGCATCCACCCTTCTACCACAGTCACTGTGCAGCACCTGCATTGGCTTTCCTTCCCGTGAATTCAGGGATGCCCAGTGCTCTTTCCAGGCAATGCTTGGAGCAAGCAGTCTTGCCTCCCAGACCAAACTGGGGTTGGGGAGGAACTAAACATTCCTTTCTGGCAAGAAAAGGATTTTACAAAACCCGTTGCTCCTCTGAACTACATCCTGCAATTGTTAGTACCAACACAACATTTTTTCTCTCCCATCACTTTCCTGCTCTCACTCCAGTCCCCACGAGGTGTTTTCAACAGCTGATCCCAATCCATAGGTGGGTGCAGCTGGGGCCTGTGCCCCTTGCAGACCCTCCTGTGGGGCAGGGCTCACTCTGCTGCCTTTATAGTGCCATGCCAGGAGCTGGGTGACATAGACAGGGGTTTGTGACACCTCAGCTCACAAAAAAAACATCTGAAAACTTGCAGAAATATCAAAGCTATCAGTGTAACACAGGATGAAGCTTTTGTGCTCTTTAACTGAGCAGACCTCTCAGCATGAACAGCAGGAGCTCTGCTCACCTAAGGGCTCAAGAATTTGGCTTGGAATATGTAAAAATTTAAAGTATTTAAACTTTAAAGTTTTAAAATTACAAAAGACACTCAAGAATTTATGCTGTAGCGCCAAATTAGACACTAGTTATACACCAGCAATTATTTCAGAGTATTTTCCTGCCTCTCGTTCCCTTTCTGTCCTGGAGGATGGAGATATATTTTCCAGTGCAGGATAACACAGCAATAAGTAGCATAATGTCACTGGTGTCTATTCTTTGCATGAAGACCAGGAGCACTGCTGTCACTAAGCTGTTTATTCAATCCAAGTGCCCAGGGCCCTGCAGCAGCACCCAGGGGTTTCTCTGGGCACCGCTGCACCCCAGCAGAGCCTCTCTGCCATGGGCAGTGTTTGATCTCCACTGCTGAGTTTCTCTCCATCTCTACTACAACTTCTAAAACTCTGATTCCTGTAGGAATCAAATCTAATCTGTTTCAGTATATTTTATGCTCCTCTGATTTATTCAAAGCTGAATAAAAGCATTGCAGTACTTAGGTTTCCTATTTTACTTTGGGAACTATATTATTAGTAGCCCCATTCAGGAACTAGATTAACTTGAGTCAAGCAGATTAAAAACCCGGGCTACACCTGTGGTATTCAGCTTGCTCTTTAATCTTATCCACTAAATTAAAAAAGCTCTGGATAAAAATGAGACAGGTTAACCTATCACTTGTCTCATAGAAGGGTCTTTAGGGTAAAAGAAGACTCAGTTCTCCTGCAAGCCTGGTAAATTTTCCCCTTCTTTGCTGAAAAATACCACCTTTGAACCAAACTATTCTCTTTCTCTGAACAAAACAAAGCATCCTTTTGGGCTGTATATGCGAGAAAACGATTTTACTGTAATGCCATATACAAAGAAACAATTGATTGGTACTACATGAAAAATTAAAGTGATTTATTTTTTAAAACTTTTTATTCGATAACCAATACATTTATTATTTGATATTCAGTCATTTAAGATCACTTTTTTATCATAGTCTAGTCACATTCTGGTGCTATGTGAGAGATATTTCTGGTTTTTATATAAACTAAAATTGAGTAAGGGGTGAAAATAATATTTGTATGGAGATATATAGATATAGATGAATGATTTTAATATAACATGCATATTTGTATATAAACATATATGAGGTGACCAGCTAGTAAATATTTCATTTTACTCTGTATAGGGTAGAATATACTTAGATGAGCTCAGACAGATTGAACAATAAAATGAACATGACAAAATGGGTTTTAAGTCAGGAAACAGAACAGTAAAACAATTTCCTGAGTTATTTAAATGCTTTCATTTAAGAAATGTCATTACATACTTAAATTACATGGAATATAATTATATAAACACCACAAATAACAATGTTTTACCTAGAAAAACAGAAGTTAAGGGAGGAGAACTATTTCCTGAAATATTTCTTTATTTTAAGATCAGGTTCTGGTTGTTATAGGAAATAAATCAAAAGAAATGTTCTAAAATTATTTTAAAAGTCTGTGTCCTTTACATTTGTACACATACTTATCTTAAAAGATCCGATAGGTGAACAGCTCCCCATATTGAGTTCCATGCAGGTTTACGATGCAACCTTTACACAGAAGTCCTCCTTCTGAATTATTTTGGTAACCTTAACCAGAATTTTAGCTTCACAATTTAGTATCACTGAAGATGCTTATGAAAGGACTGCTTGTGAGCAATTAATTCTAATATTTCATCAGCTAAGAGGAGTGTATTTTGCTGCTCACGTGTCCTCAGTTTTGGTATTATATATGCTACAAATTCATCACAAAGATCTGCCTGGTGTGTCTAGCTGAAAAGAAAGATCACAGAACAGTATTATCAAAAAATAGAGACTAAATGAACAATCTGAAAAAATTGTGTTTACTCAAGAATTTCAAAATTAAGTGAACTTTAACAGCCTGAGAGTGGCGAGATGAAAAAATAATTGTAAAACATGTATTGTAGAATGCTTGTTATCTTTCAAAAATGTTAATATTGAAGTAGTTGTAATTGAGCACAAGCTTACTAGCTTATTATTGACCTTGCACCACTTTCTTTTTACACTGATTTCAGGTATTACTGTAAAAATAACTATGAATATAATTTGAGCCTTACCCAGTCCCAAAATCTGAAAGACAACTGTGGCTCTTCTTTCTTCCTTGCTCATCAACCCAAATAACCCTGATTCAAAGCAGGCATACATATTATGGGTAAAGGTCACTGTCCTGCCCATAGTGACAGTATATTGTGAAAAGGACTTTAAGGTGTATTCTGTCACATTGTAGGATAGAAGTTGTGTATCTATAAACTTCAGTCTCACACTTGTATTTCTTCATCAACTATTCCATAAAACTTTAGGTTATTACCAAGCAGCTCTCCTCTTCAAAATAATTTTTGTCTTCAACTTAGCATTTGAGAAAAATGCTTGCAAGTAACCTTCTTCCCAAATGAATAGGGCACATGGAGACAGATCCACCCCTGCTCTCCCTCCTCTCATAGTCCTTGCTGATAACACTTGGGTTTGAAATACTACTTGAGTCTTTAAAATGCTGTTAATCTAGTATAAGGTTTTGATAGCTTTATTCCTCCTCATGCAGACATGAAATAGGGATATTAAAAGAAATGAAAAGAAAGGCAAGTTAGGCTACTCTCATCCCTCAGGACAGGGAGAACTGCTCTAAAGATAAATAAACCAAGTAAAAGGGGAAGTGAGGTGAAGTGTAATACCATTTGGGGAAAAAAATTAAGGCAATAATATTCTTTTCCAAGCAATGGTATATAGTTTTAGCCATCAATAGGAAGGGCTTTTCCTTCAGAGTACGCTTATTTACATCCCAGAATGAAAGTGATGCATGAACAGGGATCAGAAAATTCTGATGTGGCTGTTATGAACAGAAGTGTTATGCAGTATTGTTTCAGATTAAGATTGTGCTTGTTTTAAAATACAGCTGGTACTTAAAAACAGTCCATGTGGTCAATAAATGTTCAATCACCTAAGTATGTAATTTTTGGAAACTCAAGATGTGGATTTGGGAGGTAATTTGTTTAGCCCCAACTACTTTGTTGCTGTAGCATGTCCCAGCTGCAATCTGTCTTGTAGGGGGTGATGTGCTCATGCAGGGTCCCTGCACACACACTAAGAAAACTTCTCACTTGAACCAGTGAGAGAAGGAGAACCTAAGTCATACAGAAAGACTTGGGAGAAAGAACTTACACACATGAGGCATTTTTTACCCCATAAGTGTCAATAATGGCATGTCAGGGGTGAAGACCCAGCAAAAACACAGAATATTCCAGACACTGCAGAGAAAACTTAAAATCATGGGAGTACAAAGAAACTAAAGTAAATGTTTGTGTTTGGGGTTACTGCAGAATGGAAATGTGAATTCCAAAGAAAAATATTTATTCTCTCTGAATGGTCTGTTAAAGTTATATTACATGTTTCTTTAGTAATAGGATTAGAAGGTATAAAATTCTTTATGGGTGGAGACTGTGTTCAGTAAATGGCCGTGGAACACCACAGGATTTTATTATTCAAAGGATTAATGACAGTAGATTTTGTTTCTAAGTCTTACATGGCCTTGTTTTAATGCAGACTGGGAATAAGTTCTCCAGAGGTTTGTATGTCAGCCACATTGAGGCAACTACACACAGAACCACAGAAAAATGGGGTAGAAAGGGCTGGGAAGACACAGAAAGAGGGGGTAAAGGTGACAAAAACTCCCATAGACTCAGGCAGTTAAAGACAGGTCTCCTCAGAAAACTTGTTCAACCTGTGAGGGCCACAAGGACTCCTGTCTGCAGAGCTGATTACTGTAGAGCATATTGAAAGTTCCAGCTTTTGGTCAAATGGCTGCACATATCCAGCCTTTCTGAGGATTTTCTTCATGAGGAAAGGAGAAGGCAGCCAAAGTGACAACAGCTCTGTGTGGCTCCACAAGCAAATTTCAGCCACTTATAGAAAAGTCTCCCTTATCTGCTATTGTTTTATATTTATCCCTATCTACCTACAAGGAGTGAGCCAGGTTTATTTATTTGTCCAGACTAACACCATTTAGTGCTGATACATAATCTCTCTTCTCTAGAGGAAACAAGCTCAAGGCTAACACTGCCTTGTAGTTCAAACGAAACAGATGACCCCATATTTGACTTGTCATCGAAGTGAGAGGGATTTATAAAAAAAAAAATAACATTTTTTTTTCTCTTCCTACTTTCTTTAGTTGACAGAATGGTGTACAAAAATCCAATTAAATTTGTCAAAAAGGAAGAGAAAAGAACAAAAATACATTTAAAAAATACTTTTGTGCATATTTTGATTTTTAAATATTTTTATTTTTGTTACCAGCCTCTGAGGACCAGAGGTATAACCAGATTATCTAAAAATGGTGGGCACATCATATAGTGAATTAATGCATTGGCAGGCTTGTAGACCTTCCACTTCAGGCAGAGAATCAAAGGAAAATCTTTTTGCAGGTGCCTACATTACATCTTCTTTATAAACACCCTCCTTTCAGCTACATTCAGGAATTGCAAAAACACAGTATGCAGTGTCATGCAAAAATGCCTGTGCACTTCATAGGCACGGAGTGTAAAGTGTGCACAAAAAAAGGGTCACCCTTAGCTAGCAGTACATAGTGTTCATGCTGATAGTAGAAAATAAGGCATTCTCACAAAGCCAACAACAGAAGAATATGCCCACTTCTATTTCAACCATGGTAATAGCATTAATATTATTCACGCCTTTTACAAAAGCTCTTGGCTTCAAGGCTTGTCTGTCCCTCTCTCATAGTCAATACCCAGGTAAAAATGTTGCAGTTTTGTACTGCTTTTAACATGAAGTTATTAAATAAAATAAAATAAGTGTTTCCCTAAGTCCCTTTCAGCCACTCCTCACTCTAAATAAAAAGCAGAATATTTTCAGTCAACAAGAGCAGCTCACCCTGCTGCCAGGCACTGCAGTTTGCAGCATGTGCAGCTCAGGATTGCAGTGCTGCTCTTGACTGTGGATGTAATAAGGTTCTCCAGATGACAATTTTTTTGAGATGACGTGTAGAGATTCACTGTTAGGAGGCATCCACATTATTACTGTGGAAATGATGGGACCACACAAGAAGTTCTCATGATCATAAACAAATATATGAACACCACAATGGAATGGATAAAAAAAGCACCTAAGAGGAGAAGCACCAATTCAGCACTCTCTTTTGGCTGTTCCAGAATAGCACTTTTATAATGACATTCTCAGACTAGCACAAATATCAGTAAAAGTGTAATTACAACATCATCCACTGGCCTGGGACCATACCCTTTGATTATATAATGACTCCCTGTTAGCTTCATTTTATCTTTGCCTCAGATCTGCTTTCTTCACAAAATTCTGTCTTGAGCTGGCTGGGCTAGTGGAGTGTATTGATAGAATCTCACCCACTAACAATCATGCAACAGTTTTAACTCCTTCCCAATGTTAAACTTATTTTTTTTTAAAAAAAAAAAAATTTTGTGAGTAAAGTCCAGCATATTAGCAAACATGAACAGAGTAGCTCAATGTACTCAACTTCTACAGATGGTCTGATACTCTGTTTTTTGTTCTCCTAGATGCAAAGTTCATTCTGACCTTCTCTATCCCTGCTTGTCTCTGTCTCCAGAATAGCTCCTTTACTATTCAACTGCCTGTAGTGTTTATCCTTCCCTGAGGAAAGAGTTAAAGGGGAAAGGAGGAAAACATCTACAATTAAATTGCTCTTAAGTTGTTCCTGCCTCTTGGCAACTGCAGGTTGTAATTCAGCAGTTTACAACTCTCCCTTCTCACTTTAGAAAGAATGAATAATGTAGAGACTTGCATTCATATTTGCTGTAGAAAGGGAATGCTGGGAGTAACAAATTGCTGCTGAAGACAATAACATTCAAAGGGACAAAGGCTTCAAAGTTAAATCTCTTAAAGAGGTCTCTAAGAGAAGAAGTGCCAAAAGAAAAAAAGAAAAATCAAGTCTGTAATGGCTTGAAGAAACTTAATTCCAGTATGGTTGGTTTCAAAGCAGTTTGTACATGTGTTTAAAGGCATAAGAAGAAAGAAACTTACCTCATAGAATTCCAAGAGAATGTTCAAGAAATACCTATAAAGAATTTCTTTCCAGTAGACACCTTGTAAAACTGCCGGCTCAGATTCACACCACTGCCTACTTTTGTTATCGCTATTACCCCAAGGTTGTACAAGTCTTTAGCAAGCACTAGCCCAGTAGTGTATTTTGCACATTGTATTCTCTTGACAATCAAACAAAAGTAAAGCAATACAGAAAGCACGTTTTAAAACACAATTGTCTTCAGGTCTAGAGACTGGGGAGTCTGATGTGTGAGCTTTAGAATCACAGACTTTCAGACTGGTGGCAGCAGGCACCTCTGGAGGAGATTGTCTAGTCCGACCCTTTGGTCATAGCTGGGCTAGCCACGGCAAGTTGCTCAGAGCCAGATCACAACAGATTTTGAATATCTATCTTTAAGGAAAAAGACCTCACAAGCTCTGTTGAAAATGTGTTCCTGTGTTTTGTAATTCCTGCTGTAAAATGTTTTCCCCTACATTAAACTGGAATGCCCCATATTTCAGTTGTGCCCATTTCCTCTTGTCATATCTCTTGACCTGTGGAGCCCAGAACGGGACACGGCAACCAGATGTGTTTCACCACTGCTGATTTGAGGGGAAAGTTCATGTGCCTGGACCTGGTTGCTATCTTCTTGTCTACCAGGATACCAAGGTGTTCTATTGCAGAGCTTCTTTTCAGCTGGCTGCCCCACAGCAGCTATAACCACACAGGATTACTGCTACCCAGGTGCAGCACTTTGCTCTGCTTTGTTGAATTTCATGGGACTTCTGTGAGCTCCTCTCTGGGTTCCTCTGAACGACAGTACCTGGTGTATCCAAGACTCCTCCCAGTCTTGTATCAACTGCAAAGCTTCACAGGGTGCACTCTCACCCATTGTCCACTTCAGTAAGGGGTTAAGCAGCAGCTGACTCAGTTTCCTGAAGGCTGGCCTTATCAGGGAAGACTGAGGCCAAAAAGTGCTGTGTCTTGGCCTTTCCCACATCCTCCATCTGATCCCCTGGCCATTCAGCAGAAGAGCTAAATTTCCCTCACCTGTTGTGATCTACAGTGTTCCCTCTGCCCATCTCCATCCCAGCAGTACGAAATGGGACACTTGTTTCCAGTTTGGGAGCGCTACCTTCATAAGCAGTTTCAGCTGGACTGCACTGGCCTGTGAGCTACATCACACATTCATTCCGGTGCCTTTGCTCTTCAGGTGGTTACTTCCTGCTGAGAAGCAAGGTGTAAAGTGTGAGCATTCTATCACTGCATCTAAATCTGTCAGAGCTAATCTGTCAGAACCCTCACTTACATTTATAGAATGCCCAGCTCCTGAGTGCCTCCAATATAGGCAGCTTCTTTCCAAAGGACAATGGGTAGAATATTGTACCAAACAGATGCAAAATGTGTGCTTACTGGTGTAGAATTAACTGGTAATGGAAAGCAACCAATAAGTGGGAATCTATTCTCATTTTTCCTTTAATACAGTTTTCTCCCTACTCTTTCACCACTCATTGTGCAAATACGGAGCAAATTTCAATTGTTTATCCATTGCCCGAGAAGGTTTCAGTACTACAGACTGTGCATGACAGTGAGGTGAGTGACATGCTGTCACTCAGCACAGTGGTTAGGATGTGGCATGGTACAGAAAGGCAATGACATATCACAAAGCAGATGTGTGACATGGCAGTCACTTAGATGACAGGCATGCAAGTTACTCCAAGACCCTGAAGTCCTTACTTGTTTGCTCTCAGTTCCTACTCTACTTTAAACAAATACTTATGCCAAGTGTAAAATGTTTTTCAAAAACTGCGTGGAATATATAATTACACAATAACCTCTCAGGATAATTTATCTGGTTTAATTTGAGCACAGTTATAAACACTCTTCAGACAGCACAGTCTCCATCTACAATGATACTGTCAGTATGCACACTACGGACAGAGTGCTCACTTTTGCACAGCCCATCCTGCCAGAATAAATACAGGAGAAAACAGGAATTCACAGTCCCTCTTACCTCCTTGACAGCATCTAACATTTGGAAGAAATTTTAAAAAAAAACCAACATAGACTGGTAATTTATTAACACAGTGAGCAGTCACAGAAAATGCACATTACCACAGGTTCCCATGGCTTCTCTCCAGGCTCCTTCCTTCCCCAGCATAGGAAAGCTGTTGCAGGGAAGTGGGCATGAAAGTGGCCTTTGGTTGGAGAAGACTAGAAAAGGTGAAGGATTTGTTTGGCATATTCAAACACCTCCTCAGATCTGGGAGTTTAATCACAATACCAGCAGGGAAAAACAGCACTGATGTCAAATCCCATCTCATGTTTAGGGAAAGCAAGATTCCTGTAGCAAACAAACAACAGCTCAGAATTATTTCTCCAGGTCTAATTCAAAGACCCAGAGGCAACAAGCCCTCCACTGTTCACTGGTTGCAGATTTTTCAAATCAATTTTCAAAGAAAGATTATGACATAGTCAATGTATTAAAAAGAATAAAATGTGGAATAGTGTTGTTAAAGCACACAAGAGATAGAAATTAGTAATTAAACAGCAAACACAACCATTTGCACCTCCCATAAACTGATGCTTCATTTTATGTTGACAAAATGCAAAAAGAGAAAAATAATCTCTTTTCAATAAGTTTGGACAGTGAAAACTAAATAAACAGTGCAAATAATGACGAATACAAAAGATTAAAATTTTTTTTGATCTCTAAATCCCATAAGATGTTATTAGAAACAAAAGTGAAACAATGAAGCCTGAAATAAATGCAGCCTGTTTTTCTGTGGATTTGTATCTCATGATCTAAGCTCTAATTTGAGCTTTTCTTCTGGATGGGAATTTATAACCTCTCCCAAAACGTGAGCTTTCACTGCTGTCTTTCCTTTAGTCAAAATGCTTATGGGGTCTATTTTTCCAGAGCTACTGAGAACTCAATTATCCTTGAGACAACTTCCCTTCTGTCAAGTTTGGTTGACACTGGTCAGTGGGTTTGAAAATTATTAGACGAGACATTTAGACAGTCATACACAAACAAATGCAAAAATATTGCTATAAAAGCAGGCTAAAAGTATTTTCCAAAAAAACTATTTTACCTTTTTATGTTCAGTTTCATGCACAGGGAAATATATGACAGCTGGATCCTTGTAATACGGAAATCCTAAGGAACAAGTTGGATTGCTGTTTAAGACTCAAGAGTCTCAGTGGAAAGAATAACAACACATGATTTCCTAGTAGCTGAAAGTGTTTTGGCAAACAATGACCCTTGCAAATCTTCACAAAACAGCACCAAATGTACTCATGCTAACAAAAATCAACATCGCACTAAAATAAATGGAAAGTGAAGGTAGCAGACAGAGCTCACAAGATCAGATAAGGACTACAGGGCTCAGCCCAGCAGTATCTGAACTGATCTCCACTTTCAAGACACTGGTAATCTGTTCAACTCACTAACTTATTGTTTCCACCTATTTGGGTCAGATAAAATAACATGCAATTTTGGATTAAACATAAAAGTGCAGATAAGCTGCCCTATTTTTATTTATCCCTTTACTTTTTATATCTATACAACTTCGCAGTACCCAGAGTTTACAGTTTGCTAAATAAAGTGCTTGAAGTTAGGGGATTTTTAATGAATGTCACAGTTTTTAATGCATAAATTAACCTCTTATTTGAAAAATAGACCACTGTAATATTTAAAGACATAAAAATTACTTTTGTGACACAGGTAATATCTTTCTGTGTATCCATTTATGGGAAAAAAAATCACAAATGAAGAGATTAACCTGGACACTGAGGACACATTTAACATAAGCCTTCCCCAGGCTCGTCATTACCTGTATGGCACTGCTGACCTTGAAAAGCTTTCATGTTCACCAAAGAAGGATGTAGAGACCTAGGACACAGAACGAAAAAAAATATGCATTGCCATGCAGACTGTGCTCATCACTTTGGGATTATCACATACTCACGTCATGATTTATCACATATTTCTACTTTAAAATTACATTTTCAATTTTTCTCTCAATAATTAATTTATTCAGCAGCCTAAATCAGAACAAATAAACAAAGCATTTCTATGAATTCAAGGAGTATTTCTATGACACGAGCAGCTGCGATAAAAATATTCCGTACTTGACCTCTTATGACAGAGAAAGTCACAGACTGAAAGGCATGTTCCATCCCCACCTTCTGAAGAGAAGTTACTCCAGCAGCAGCAGAATGCTGCAGAAGACCCAGCAGAAGGTCAGGGAGGGACAGGCTGGGGCTCCTGTGGTGAGCAGGGAGGAGCCTCGTTCAGCACTGGGCGCCTGAGATGTCACGGTGTCACCTCTGTGGGGGCATGAGCTGGTCATTGGACAAATGCACCCTGTAAGAGGGAGACAGCCCTCTGGCAGCAGTTTCCATGCCCAGAACAATCTCACAAGCTTCTACAGGCTGAGGGCTTACTTTTCACTAAGATGCATAAGTAAGCACTAAGTAACCCATTTTTAACAGCAGAGCAAATATATGTTATGAGCCTCAATCTAATATCACAGAGACAGAAACTCTGTGGGTTTTATTATTTGCAGGTTAACAGTGGTTTCTGAAATGTGACAGTGGATACAGTTAAAATCAGACAAAAAATTCTCATCACAACATCTGTAAAACTTTGTGTTTTAACTCAGGATTAGGCTTCACTTCACAATCAGCAGAGTGTACCAGGTCTCCGTGGCTTGCACCCCTGGAAACCTACCTTTTAGAGAAAAAAAACATTAGCAAGACAAATATGACGTGGAAAATAAAATAAACATATATTGCATAGAATGACAATTTAATCAGATGAATAAGCAAACTCAGCAAACTCAGACATAACTTATCAGTAGCTAACATTTCTCTTTGATCTCCATGATTAATTTTCTTGTACAACAACAATCATATGACATCTCATTTTTTAATTTAAAGGTCATTTTTCCTGTGCCTTCTTCTATAATGTGTTATTTTAATTTCATTCACTCTGGTTAAAATTGAAGTGTATGCTTTCAAAACCCAGCCAGATTTGCATTCCAAAACTGATCTGCATTCTTGTAAAACTTTTCATTTAGCTGTATCCAACAGCTTGGGCTGGCTGAAATCAGAAGGTACAGTTAGTTCTACAATTCAAATAGTCAAAAGCAGAAATACTTGATAATTTTATCTCCAGCCTCACTGTGACAAGACAACAAAAACCTGCTCTCTCTGGATGTGCGGGCAGGAAAAAATGATCACATTAAAGTTTTTTTTGTATTAGTTTTTAAGCTGTGAAACACCCAACAAAAAAGTTAGAGCACTAAAGGACAGCAAAGGCAAAAACGGCAGCACATGTAGTGCTCTCCCAGGAGCTGCCTGTGCCAGGCTGTCCTCAGCAGCCTGCAGTTACCCTCAGTTCATTCTGGTCAGGTCTTTTCCTGAAAGAGAGTTTTTCTTTCAGTATTTATGTAGTGCAGCAGGCAACTGTTTACCTCAGAGGCATAAAAGTAAATCCAGATGTGTTTGATCCATAGTGCCACAGCAGCTCTGTTGCCTATGGAAACAAAGGTTCCTTTCAGGGAGTTCACATAACAGGCCCTGTGACCCAAGGGACCCATCAATTTCAGCCACTGGATTATTTGTAGGTATTTTGCTAACATACATATATAGATAGATATAGATATATATCTAGTATACATGGTACAAAATGTTGTCTCTGTAATAGTCCAATATGATCAAATGGGACAGTTCCTGAGACTCATATTGATTTTATGTTATTTTATTTAAACAACATAATCCCCTTTTAAACAAATTTATAGTTAAAAAGTAATAAGTGTTCAAGCTATAAGCATTTTTTTTCCCTCCACCATTCACCATGCAGGTTGAGTACTTTGTGGACAGCAGCTTGACAAATCTGTTTCACGCTTACTCACAAATTCAGCTTTTGAAGATGACCCTGAGCATGGAGTTTATGGATGCTGCAGAGAATGGATAACATCCCAGAAGCACCTTGTTAAAGGTTTCCTTTGAAAAAAAACACTTATTTGCGAATATGTTATAAGTTCCTAAGTGCCATTCCTGTGCGGAGACCTCTGCACATTTTGCAGAAAACTGATCAAGTGTGACACATTTCAACAGATCCCAGTGCAATGTTTGCTACAGCCCTTTCCCAGTGAGAACCTGAGGTGATAAAAAGGAACATGGGCAGACCTGGGACCTGAATGCAAAGTCCATGATATTTTTCTCCACATGTAATGCAGTAATTGGGTCTTCAACTGTAGACATTGGCAGCATCAGTGCTCAGAATATAGCTCAACACCTCCTTCCTCTTTACTGAAATCATTAAGGATTATATTCACAAAATTCATACCTAACATGACTTTCCTTAAAGACATCCTGCATGATCTTCAGATTTCAATTCAAGAAGGCAATTAGCAGCTAAGAGCACCTTATTAAATCTGCTTTTAATTATAATTCACCAATGTTTATAGCTCGCTTATAATTTTTGCATATGATTACATTATTAGGGATCAAAATGAGTGAACAAAGCATTAGTTTATGTGCAGTGATAATGTTTCATAGAAAATTAAAAAAAAACAATTTAAACTCATTTAAGCAGGAATATTATTCTCCATTAGGAATCTAGGGCCAAAAATGCCTTGAAAATATCATCTGTATAAATATTCATGTACCTGTGAACAGATAACTTCAGAAGCAGATTTGACAGAAACAAAGAATAGCTTCTTCACATTGCAGTAGATGACTAAGATCATTTGAATGATTTATTGATAAGCCAATGTACAAAATAAATACAAAGAGAATGGGCTGGACTTGTTGTTACCAAAAAAGTCATTACAAGGCTGCCTAGCATGTGAATTAATAAATATAAGAGTAGTGTGGGTAGGCTTGTATTACAAATAAGTCAAACATAATACGAGAAAGACATCAATAATCCTTGATTCCCATTACTTTTCTACTTTTTTGTGGGGGGATTTTTATTTGCATGGGGTTTTGGTTTGGTTTAGTTTTTTTTAATAACTGTAAGTTGTGGGTATATCCAAGCCAATAGGCACTAATGTCATAACCACCACATGGGGGGCAATATAGATGCTGATCCCATCACCCTCCCTGTGTACAGTGGAATTCACATGAATAACCCCACTGAAAACAGAAGGATGATTTGTGCACTAGGTGCTATTTAGAGGAAGGGTAGAAGGTTAGAGGCAGATGAACCAAGCTTTTTAGTTGATAAACTCATTTCTTCCTGGGGGAGGGCATAGGGAACTTTTGGTAGGCATCTAAACTCAGTTACCAGAGGGTACCAACATTCTCCTACTGTAAAAGTCTAGATACTCCAGCACTTATTCAAACAGTCAAAAGCCCCACAGTATCATCAGCAGCTGCTCAAGTTGTCATAGCTTTAAGAAACACAGGCCAAATCTCATTCTGCAGATCTCCAAGCTGAGGCATTTTGAGGCCTTTTTCTTTCAGGACCCTGCCTGAAGCTGTGCCAGCCTGGGACTGCCCTGGAGCTGGGCTGCTTGTCAGTGTGTAACCCACAGACACTTTGCACTGAAGAGCAGAAACATAGAGCAGTGCATCCAGGAGATACACATTTTTCCTAAAACCCTGTGCACAAGGCTGTGCCAGTTACTTTTCCTAGGTTAGTCTAATTTGGAATATCCTTTCTGCTCTATGACCCAGCAAGACTGGGTTCAGCACTAAAATCTTACTATCTAAAAATCCAGATGCATATATTCCTTTAATCCTTTTTTCATTCTGAACAGACAATAAACTAAAACACAATGTGGCCACCAAGTATTCACAATACTTAACAGGTGGAAATTTTGGGGCTTCTAGTAGATATACTTAGCAAAGCAAGGAAAAACTCTGGCCTAGTTTAACCTTAAAATATTGTTCCTAGATTGTTAGTCTACTTAAACTCTTGGGATTTCTCTTATGAAGTAGACAACAGAGCAGAAAAAATGTTGCTTTCTAAACTATGCAAACTATGTCCTATACTTTATTGCACCATCCAAGACCATCCTTAATGTTATCATTTAAATTATGTTCAGAATAGCTGACATTGCAATAGGAGACAGAAGCCTTAAATAAAGGATGAGCATCAGGTGAACACTTTCAAATAGATGGGAGCATTCAACTTCAGGACAGAACTCTTAAAAGAGTTAGAATAGGGGAAGACATTTAAAAGAAAGCCCAGCATTAGCTTCAAAGCTCAATATTATTCTATGTTGTGTGCTTTTTTTTAAGCTTCAGCCTTTGATAAGAGGGGGTTGAACAAGAGAAAAAAATTAGCTGCAAAAGCAGGCACATTTGACAACTTTGGCAGCACATGAATAGAACTTAGAGTATTATATGTAGCTTAAAAGATAAAAAAAAAAATAACAGCCTTCCTCTTAATTAGAGAAGCCATATGCTCTATGAAATAAATCCTGGTAGCTTGTAATTACAACCTTATTTTTAAACAGATCCTTTTAATTCTATTATATTTTGTATTTCTGATTTATTTACTAAAATATTCAGATCACAGAGTTGTTATGCAAAAGTTCACTTCACAGTTGAAAGAATAGCATGGCAATAATATTGCTACATCTCTTCCTACAAACAGGAGGTGATAAACAGGGGTCTACATGCTAAAGATTATTTTCTTCTCTACTGCCTACCAGCAGGCCACATGGGACATCTAATCCAAGCACCTATCACACCTTAGTTTCAGGATTACTCTTAATTTTGCTTTTGAAATGGGAATGGACATTACTTTCTGAGTAACCGTTTTCCTGAATAACATAAACTTTTGACTCATGTTTGACACTGAAAAATTTAACTGTGCTTCTCCATGTTAAATAAAAATATCTTTTAAACAATATTCATCCAGAGACTCTACAAAAGATCACTGCCATCCTCAGCACTTCTAGTCACTCGTAATAAGATGGTTTCATATAAGGAGCCATCAGTCAGTTTTATAGATGCAGGTATGTTTCTATAACTATATAATAGGTATCATTCACAAGCATAAATCACAGGTTTTCTAGGTGCCAGACTTCCAACACAAAGAAGTTCAGCCTATAAAAACATGAATCAGCCCATGCACATGTCAAAAACTCAATTCCCTTGAGAACAAAATTTCTTGCTAAGAAATTTAAGGTAAAATAATTAAATTCAAGATAGAAATTTGACTGTACTTTCAGTAGTGTGAGGCTGAGGTCTGTTTCCTTATTAACCTGTCAGGTTGGGATTTTACATTTCCATTGCTGGTTGGTGCTGACCCTCACCTGTAGCCACTGCCCATCCTGCAATTCAGTGCATCTTGCTTCCCTTCAAGCATTAACAGCAAGCAGCTGAAACAGGCTGGTGCCAGTTTTGCTGTTCAGATTGCTGAGCAAAAAGGACAGGAAATCATTATAGTCAAAGCATTTCTAACAAAGGTCACTTTAATACAAAATTACATCAATCACCTTGAAAACAAAAAGCACATTTCAATTGATGTCATTCGTTCATGGGGCTAATACCAGCTTTAGTTTTAAAAATTTGGCTGGTTCTGAAGAAAAAATCATTAAAAATTAAGTGTCTTTCAAGAGAGATTTGTTATGTGTGAGAAGATAAAATTGCATGAGTTGTTTCATATGATAACCTGAATGGCTGTTTCAAAACTTTTTTTCTGAAGACATCACTATGACAGCAGCTTTAATGTAAAAGAATCATCTAGAGAAGAAGACTCTGGATAAAGCATTTCTCAGGATTTATCCTGGTCTGGTTACATGCACCACAGAATCCAGGCCTTCATCTCACAAATGTAGCATTATACAAGTGAAATAAGCCAGAATTTTTGTACCTGTAAATCATAGCACAAGCACATATTTGGATCTATTAGACACACTAGATGAGGTATCTGACTTTGTATAAAACTTTTGCAGTCAATTTTGACATGGGCACATTGTAAAAATAGCTTTAACACAGCAGATGAAGCTTTATACGCCTAAAACTTTTTACTAGGAAATGCTAAATGAATTTGCAGGTGTAAATGAGGTCCAAGCTTTCAGACATTAACACTCATGTGATGCTAAATTCAACAATTAAATTTTCAGTGGTAAGAGATTATGCCCATACATCTTACTTCAGACAATAAATGACTTATCTATATCAGAGTACATAAGCATGTGCTTAGAAGTCTGCTTTTCAAAGGAACTGAATGACTTAACCACATGTAAATTTATTTGCTGAAGAAAAATGTGTGGATAGTTTGAAGACAGTGATTTTGTCTATGGTGGTATTGTGGAATTCAATTCTACATACACACAAATTCCTATCCAATGTTTTATGTTTAATCATCACATTTATATATAATTAACAGACATACAAAAACCATGGACAAACAATATAATTATACATAATTTTACAACACAGAGTAAACAGGCAATCTCTGCAGTTTTATCCTGCATTAAAAATTATCTAGTATCTGCAGCATGTCTTCCAGTGGGATTAATCCACTGCACAATTTTAATTCCAGTGAAGGTTTTTTCAAGGCTAAGGACTATCCCTGTAAACTCATATGTAAGCTGCAATTTTAAAAACAATTCCCCAAATATTTTAATTTTGATTTATCCACAACACATCTGTGTACAGATCTGTAGATAGTATATTCAAGCTCTATAATTTCAAATCATACTGCTTTGAAAAGGCTGGTAAAAAATTGAATGTCATTTGATTGTTATTCTGCTTAGGAGAGACTACAAATGAAGGATCAGTGAGGGAGCAGAGAAAAACTCCAGTGAGAAATAGGATGAAAACAAAGTTGAGAATGTGAAGAATGAACAACTGAGTGTGAAAGAGAAGCACAGAGGGAGAATATAAAATTCTCATACACTGGAATTCAAGGGACAAGAAGCTTACACGGGCCACTGAGCTGTGCCATCCTCACTTTTCAAGGGTTAGTAAACTTACTCAATGGTAACCTGGCACAGAGCTTGCTTCAGCAGGAGGTTCACTGGAGAAAAGTTTCCTACATCAAAATAATGGCTCCCAAACTGCAGCTAATATCTAAAATACAATTCTGCAGCCCCTGAAAACTGCCACCCCCATCCTTGTGTATCCTCCTGTCAGTGTTCCCAATCTGCTATGCCCAAAACCCCCTAAAATTTCAGTCCCTTTAAAAGCAATGAAGCCTTTCTAAGCTGCAGCCCTCCCCAGAAGAGACATCTGAGATGCTGAGCTTGCTGCTGGAGAGGCCATGAACTCCCTGGGAGGTTTCTGCCCTGCTGTGTTAGAGCCACTCTCCTGGCAGACATGGAGCCACCCCAAAGGGATGCAGACTCTGCTGCTCCCTGGCCCTGGAGACATCGTGGCCACAGAGCCACAATGGCGGGGTCTGAATTTTTCTCTTTCCAGTTTTTCAAGTCATGGTTTCTAAAGGTGGCAATGGTAATTAGTCCTAAATGCTTTATGTGCCATAGAGAAATGTAGGAGAATAGGTCCAGCAGGCAACTTTTTTAAAATCTCTGCCAACACTTTGATCACAGAACGAATTGTCTGGAATACTGTGAACTCTTTACTTATTAAAATGAAACTGGGGTGTCGTATCAATGAAATATATTTTATTGTGTTCTGTCAATGAGACATATGCTATTATATTATCAAGGTACCAATTCAGACTATAAAATCAGCTTTCCATTTCTCTTAATGAGAGACTGTACCAAAAGTAAATTACATGAGTTTTCATCACTGTACTCTTAATAAAAATAGGACATTTTGGCTCTTTTTGTTAAAGAGAAAGCTAATATAGTATTTATGAAGTCTGTGCAGTGAGCAGTTAAGGACTAATACTGAATATCCAAAATGCTAGAGGATCTTTAGTCAAAACGGAGCATGACAATATGAGACACAAAGCATTTTGTCAAGAAAAAGAAAAAATAGTAATAGGAAAAAAGAGGAGTGGTTATTATAGGATAGTGGTTATTATAGGAAGAATGAAATGCTATAGATGGTGAAAGAGAACTAGCATTTCCAGAAATGTAAATGGGGTGCATTTTTTAGAAAAGAAGATGCCTTCTAGACTTTAGGTGTGTTTTCAGGAGATGAAAGAAACAAACTTCTACATCTCCAAAGAGACAGTAAATTTAGACACTGAAAAATCGCCACAGCATTTGAAAATAAATGGGATCTTATTTTTTAACCATAAAACTATGAACTGCCTCTTTTATTATTTAAGGGGTCTTGCTTTTCTCTTCTATCAAGAAGACTTCAAGGTCAAAATGTCTGTATACTTAATGCCACTTTAGGTGCCAATGAAAGGAGATTACAAGAAAAATGAGAGCCCTGGGGCTTGCCAGGCCTTTCTGGGATAAATGCACCTGGTAAAGTCAAGGTTATATAAATGAAGAGAATCCATCATCTGATGTTGTTGTTGGGGGATTATTTACATTTAAAGAAAAAGGAAGTAAATTAATAATAAAAAATAGTGAAATGTCCAAAGATTGCATGAAAAAGACAGTTTCACATTGCAGTATGTGCAATAGTAAGTCATAAATTCTTCTTTTAAGTGAGGACTGAAGCAATTGTTAGGGGAACAGAGGCAGTCATAGTTTGGTAGAAACTCCAAATTATCCTAAACCCTTTTCAAATTGTCATAGTCTGCTCCCTGGAAACTTAGGGACCTGCTGAAGGTAGACCAAAATTGCAAAGAACTTGGTTGGAATCCAAAAATGTAGGAGAAATTTGCAGACATCTGAAAAACACAAATTTTAACTGTAATAATATCAGAAAAATGTACTAAAGTGTAACACCCAAGGAAGTTTTAAGGACAATATTTAAAATGTTTACCATCAAGAGAAACATGGACATGAAGAGAGGTTTCCATGCCATGGAATTTCAGCATTCTGTAATACTTGTGATCAGCAGTCTTGCCCAGAAAGAGTCTGTAAGGGTTGTTCTCTTGATTTACTGCAGAATAGCCAAATAGATTCCCAAGGTCTCCACAAGATCTATTTCCCTCAAGGACAGGGGGATTTACTTTTTTTCCCCTTCTTTCTGTCTCAGCCTTATCACATTGTTGAAGATGCAGCTTCATGTCTTACAGGTAGGGTATTGTCCTATCTTATTATAATCAGAAGCTCAACCTGCTGCACAGCTGATTTACTCTGCTAGGTGCAAATGCTGCATTAAACTCAGCAACTGCAGTTCAGTAGACAGTGCAGATGTTAAACCATTTATTTGCCTTTCCCCTATACCTTGATGGAAGTAAAGGAAGGTTTCCTGAGAAGTTCAAGGTCTAAAGGGCATTTTTTCCATGCATTTACTATCCTTAGTGTTCAGATTTGGAGCAACATCCCTCTTTGGTACAGAGATCTAAATGATGCAGACAAGTACATCCAAGAGGGAATTTCTACTCTAGAATTTACATCAAATTTCATTGTTAATTGAAAAGATCATGCCTTTGCTTAGAGATACATACTGCTTTAATGGAGGCTGTGCATTTAGCAAGGCAAAGGACTGAGGCAGGTGTCGGGAAACAGTTTGTACACTTTTTTCCAGGAGTAAAAGCTGTCAGGAATGGTAAAAAAGTAAGGAAGAGCTTTCTTTCCATTTGCAAGGGAACTTAAGTGAGTAAAGACTCTGAGACAAGTCATAAAGGGAAAGAGTGGAGAGACAAGCTGGCCAGTTGGTTAAGTGAGCAGAGTTTGACGATTGGTCCAGAAGGACAAATGGCTTTAGAGTTAAAAAATTTTCTCTGTCAGATGAGAGCTCCATACACTAGTGTAAGTGAAGGGCTTTGCAAGAACATCCACAAATAAAAAATAGTTACGGTGCCAATTTCTTATAATGCTACTGTGGCATCCACCTTCCACTACGGAACATGCAGCTCTCTTGTCCACAAAACTTCCCTTGAAATCTTTTGACCTTCGTGCATCTTCCCTGGAAGAAAAAGTGCAGACAATGTAGTTCCTGCCAAAATATTATCCTCTGGTGTTTGCTGTCTTAACCATACAGCATCAGAAAAGCAAAATCAGCAGCTGCAGGTGTTAAAAGACATATTTTAGGAACAGAATTCTACATTCGGGAGAGGTAACGCCCTTCACTTCCAGAATGCACCTCATTATTAGGCAGTGACTCTACTGCAAACACTTACCTTGGCTCCAGTCTCATTCCTCTCCTGTGTACTTTGTAGATTGCCCTGTTCTTTACTAATCTCAGACTGAGCACTTCACCACCACCAAGAGCTAGAGAGGGGCTCTGCAGCACCAAGAGGAACTAATATTTGTCCTTACTTTCAGAAACAGCTTAAGGCCTATAGCCAACTTATTTTGCACATAAACTCTGCAAGATTTCCTGCTACATTCTTATTTCTGTAAATTTAAGATGTGCCTTCTTACATAAAGACT